ATTATACAGTCAGCCCTCTGTATTCATGGATTCTCCATCCATGGATCCCACCACCCATGGGTTGCAAAGATACAAAAGAAATTGTAAAAAGTTTATATAAGGGACACTATTTTACTATACTTTCGTGTATATTCGGACTTATAGCATCCACAGGTTTTAGTATTCACAAGGAATTCTGAACTCAAAGTCCAGCAGATATCCAGGGGCTACTTTATTTCTTATTGGAATCAATGGTGCTTAAGTTCAGCCTTGACTACAATGGACCCTCCACATTTGATGAAGTTTGGGATGCAGGGCCCCCACAAAAGTGAAAAAATTGCAAATTTCAAAAATCTGTATTTTTTTATTTGAAAGGACATCTCTCTAGGAATCTCAAGCTCCTCCAATGTGATTGCATTTCCTTGTGGTTTCGTAGGTGGCTGTGGAGCCCTATTCTTGACCCGCATCTTCTCCCACAGTGAGGGCATTGGTTTCCAGGTGGAAGGAGGTCCCAATCGGGGTTGGCTTGACGCGCCTTCCTCCTGGCACGTTTCTCCCTTTTGCCCTCCACTCGTGCCTCCTCAAATTCTGTAGCACTGCTGGTCACAGCTGACCTCCAGCTGGAGCGCTCAAGGGCCAGGGCTTCCCAGTTCTCAGTGTCTATGCCAGAGATTTTAAGGTTGGCTTTGAGGCCAGAAGGTTGACCAGAAGATGACAATAAAGTAGTGTTGGAAGACCTGGAGATTCATAAAGAGAACACATGAATCAAATCTGTGAAGAATCAAACCTGCAAAAGTCACAGTTGCATATATAGAGGAGTTACTATAATTTGTCCCATGTATTTGAATGGAACTAAATACAGATTCTAATTTAGTTTAAAATGAATATTTGTTTGTTTGTTTGGAGAATTTATACCCTGATTTTCAGCCACATAGGCTCTCAAATTGCTTACAAATTGTTAATTTGACAGTTCTTTTTCTCCTAGCTGTAGTTTAATCCAGTATGTATGCCATGTCTCCAACTCACACTATACTTCTCAACAACAAATGTGTACTGTACATAGATGAATAAAGAACACAGGACTGGAATCTTAGAAAATAATTTACTTGGTCATGGCTTGGAGCTATATGATTATTATTTCACTGATTGTGTTGGCATCCTTTTCTTCTTGGCACTGTATTCAACTTTTAAAAAAAGCTTAAACATTTAGATTGCAATCCTATACACATTTACCAGTAATTCCCATTGAATTAATTGGAATGGACATGTATAGAGTCCCACTCTATAATTACGTAGAGAGGAGGTAATGCTTGACCCTGACCTCTTTCTTGCCTTTGGGAAAATAAGCTGAAGAACAATAGAAATGCATTGTTAATTAGAAAGAAAAGCAGAATATAGATATCAGTGATGAATACCATGAAGATCCCATAGTACATAAACCAAAACCACAGTTAGCCAAACAAACACCAGTTAGTACACCTCATCATGTTATCATTTTCCATTTGTGTTCTTGCTCATCACGAGCAAAAAGAACCAGATTAACATGCCCATAACAGTTGCTGATGTTTTTCCTGGTTTATTGGTTGACTTATCTCCCATTCAATAGATCCCATTCCTTCTACAAAGTCAACCACAGTTCCAAGAGAAAGATAGCTACAATCTATGCTGATGGTGCATATAGATACTTGGGGTAGTACTTGATTGTGAACTATTTAGGAATGCTGCACCACTGATGGAAGTACACCTTTTTAGAAAAATAGGAACCTGCTATATACTTGATGAGTCTATGTGTCCAACTAGACCAGTATTGTCTGCTGTTGGAATGACTTTTCACAGTCTTGGGCAGAAGACTTTCACACCGAGGGATCAATTTTTAAAAATAAATCTAGGATCTTTGGCAAAGATGAAATCTTTCCCCAACTTTTGATCCCTTTGGTCCCTTCATCTCTCACAGGCTAATAAATGGATAAAACATAAAACTCATTAGGTTCTTAGGGAAGAAGCAATAATACCATACCTTTCCACTGTCCTGATTTGACCACGAGAAGTCCTGATTAATCCTCTGCCCCCCCTTTTTTTCTACACTGCCCTATAACACCCAGATCATCTGCTTTGAACTGGATTATATGGATGCGTAGACTAATCTAATCCTATTTAAAGCAAATAATCTGGCATCAGATTCTGGGGTATAGGGCAGTGTAGCTCCAGCTCCAGTGTCTCTCTCCACTTCTCACTTTGTCCTCAGCATACTTCCATTGATACAAATTGAGCTCAAAGTCAAAAAGTAGTTTGCACTCAGTCAACTCAAAGGAGCCAAGAGGGGATGGGATCTCACAGTTCCCTGTATGCTCAGGCAAAAGCAAATTACAATGGCATCTCTTAGCTTGTGTGTTCCCTAATAGTTTTTGTCATCTTAACCATACTCTGATGTTGCTTGACTACACATGACCCAATTTTCAACCATGAAAGGTCAGATTAATTAACCAGAGTATCTACATTCTCCCTCCCAAACCTAAACCTAAATTGCCTCTTGCAGTTTTTATTTTTTCTGCTACATCCAAGTTACAATTTTCAGTTAATGACATGAGGAAATTATAGAAAGCACCTGATAAAAAGTTATTGAGTCACTGATGTAAATGTAGCAAAAAGCTAGGGGAATTTCCAAAAAAGGCATGTTTCATAATTTTCTCTTTCACAAACAGATAAGAATTTGACATTGTGTTGCCTCACAGAAAGCTGTTATATCAATATTTACTTTTTACATACTTTCACTTGCTCTTACTCTTTAGGAACCAACTGTTTTGCCAAGCAGAGGTTTCCTTAATTTAACACTCTGCTTGTTATGGATTTGGTTTTCTCGGTAATAGATGACACTTGTGCCCTCATGTTTTTTTTAATCTGCATCTGGGCTTCGATATCAGCTTCCCTATAAACTTCTTCCATCAATGCAGGAGGCTTTTATTTGTATCATAATAAAAAGGGATTTGGGGCACCTTCTATTTCTTGCTTGTGAAAAGGTTAACATTTCATATGTAAAAGGATCCCTTAGACCCTTTTTAAAGCAAGATTTTGGCTTTTTCAGCACTCCTGTTGGGTAAACCAGTAGGATTTCTGAGGTGTTCAAACCATCATATGTTTCAAATTATATGTTTACTGTGGTTACTCTTAAATCCCAGTGATCTTATAGAATGGGAAAACAAAACTCAATACATAATTTTAAAGACAATGGCAGCAGAGGGACAAAAACGAATGCTCTCTCAGATGGTATCTTTCTCAAATGCAGTCCATAAACATTATATGGTAAGACTGTAACCACCTAGTGTGCCTGCACCCTTGACTTGAACATCTGTTTGTTTATGTGTATGTAGCCCAGACAGGTCGCAGGTTTGAATCCGGAGAGAGCGCAGATGAGCTCCCTCTGTCAGCTCCAGCTCCCCATGCGGGACATGAGAGAAGCCTCCCACAAGGATGGTAAAATATCAAAACATCCGGRCATCCCCTGGGCAACATCCTTGCAGATGGCGAATTCTCTCACAACATAAGTGATTTGCAATTTCTCAAGTCACTCCTGATGCAAAAAAAAGAAAAAAAAGAAAAAAAAGCTCAGAAATTTTTTTTTTGGGGGGGGGGGGAGCAAGGAAGGACTTGAAGTTTTCCCTGGCTGGGATTTTTGGGAGTTGTAGGCCAAGACAACTGGGGGCCCACAGGTTGAGAACCACTGCACTAGAGTTCCTGTGACTCACCTTGCCCCCTCAAAGTCCCTCCCTGGATCTGGCATTTGGACCTTGAAAACATCCCTATATGGATCAATGGGTGCCTTGCTCGGTGGGTTTGCTGTGTTGCCAACCATGACCTGAATTTTTATTAAAACACAGCTGGAACAGCCAGATATTGTTGTAAAAATTAAAGTAGAACTTTATTGATACACATTTAGATCACACATTAACCTCTAAAATATGTATTTCATTACTCATAGGTCCCCAAAAGCCTTTTCAAGTTTTCATCTCTCTCTTAACCTTCTATTTCTTATCTAACTTCCATCAGAGACAAGACTCAGGTTTACATCCTTTTAATCCCATAGACATTTCCTAAACTGCAGTTTGCTGACTCTAAGCAGGCTTGCAGTTTCCTCTGTTCATAGACATACCTTCTCATGATATATTCAAAAACCATCAGTCTAATTTGACCCATCTTAGCTAGAGTTCAAGCTTGATTTGCTCTAGGATCCTTTTATTTGTCTTGTTAGCAGCCCATTGTATGCACAAAACTCTCTTCGAGCAGTAGAATATATTGACATCATTTTTTAGCTAGTTTATAAGGTTTCCTTTGTTGTTTTTTATTTTCTTCATAGTAGCCACATTATTAGTGGCTTTAAGTAGTGATATTTTTATTATTCATTGTATTACATACTTTTTACTGTTTTGTAAAAACATACATGTAAGTATGAACAATTCATAATGTTTTGCCTGTCCATCATGATCTACCCAGGCATGATCAACTCACCATTATCCTTAATAAAAAACTGAATCTCAAACAACAATGAAGGATACCTCTCCTCAATCAGAAATATTTAGGCCCAACAGTTATGCTGCCCACTACCCTCTGTTTCCTAAGAGGACCGTTGCTTTTCTTCCTCTGTCTTCTTCCTCCAATAAGAGCTACCATGCCCTGCCACTTCTCATTATGTGCTTTCTTCAAGACAAAGAAAGAAAGAAAACAGTCCTAAGACAAAATTGTAAGCCATGATGTTGCATTCACAACGTATGTACAACTCCAAACTTGGTGTACTTTGTTATCTGTACTAAAGCAACATACATAGGAAGAGACTAAGTGAGCACGATATTTGAAATTTCCGCACGCACGCAACAGTTACATATCACATTTCATTAAACAAGAATACGGTGACTGAAAATCATATTTATTTTCAGAATATAATCTTGTTAATTGGTAAGAAATTAGAATCCTGGGGAAAGAAATTAAATACGGCAATATCTTTCTCCCTTACCCCTATTCTCTTGCAGATATTTATAAACAATGAGTGGCATGATTCAGCTAGTGGCAAAAAATTCCCTGTCCTTAACCCTGCAACTGGAGAGAAAATCTGTGAAGTGGAAGAAGGAGATAAGGTTTGTTAATACATGTATGCATTAGACTTGCTCTAACATTTAAACTACCTTCTATTGCCTGGGACAATCATCTACAAAAGAAAGAGAGGGGTACATTACTTCTGGATCCTTTCATTCTACACAATTGTAGTGCTGTGATTCCATTTTTAAAGCTGTCATTTCAATTTCCATGACCCGATCCTATAGAATCCTGGGATTTACAGTTTAAGGGAGGCATTTAGAAATTTCAATCAACTCATTTAGTGCCCCACCAAATTACAAACACTAAGATTCCATAGGATATCATCCTGGCAATTAAAACTCGAATCATACTGCTACTTTGTATGTGGAATGGTCCTATCATGGTGTAGATATGTCATATTTCCCTCCTTAGCAGGTTTTGTCTCAGGATGGATCCAGACAGCCTTTTATTCCAGGAGCATCTGCATTTAAAAATGCAGATGTTCCTGGGAGGCTGACTACACCCACCCCAGAAAGTGTGTGCTTTTTGGGATGGGTGTCCATATGTTGTACTGGAACTTCCCAGTACAACATTGGAAAACTAACACCCCCTCCCCAGAAGCCCCCCTAAACTGAGCAAAAAAAGAAAATAACTCACCCGGCCTCCCTCTGAATGCTGCCGGAGTTCTCCTGCCACATACAAATGACGCACCAGGAGAAAGGAAGGGGGAGCGATTTTCTTCTCTTCCCCTCCCCCCTTTCTCCTGGTGCGTCATTTGTACATGCCAGGAGAACTCCAGCAGCCATCCCAGAGAGGCCGGGTGAGTTCTTTTCTTCTTTTTTTACTTCGTTTGGGGGGGCTTTGGGCAAGGGGATTGGGATTCCCAGAGTTTTCTGGTCTAATTTATCCTGGAAAACTTTGGGAATACTGTCTGGACTACAGTATTCTGCAGCCCAGAACTGAAAATAGTGGGTTCATCCCATGCCTTTCAAGAAGGAGTGGAATAAACCCGCTATCTAATTAATTCACTACAAACCAGGGATTTCCTGGTCCAGAACATTGTCTGCAGCCCCTCCTTTATTGCGGTAGATACCGAAATAAAGGTACTGTTTGGACGGACCCTCAGAAATTATTAACAGGTGGATGAAACAATGGAAAAATACATGAGAGGAACAAATGGAAAACAATGCATCTGGAGCTCTCTTATTAAAGAGGCAGCGTTCTTTAGTGTAGTGGTTAAGATGTTAGGCTCAGATTTATGAGATCCAGGTTCAGATTTTTCACAGAACCTCAAAATTCACTGGATAATCCTGAGTTCATTGCTGTCACTAAGGAAGCATCTACACTGCAGAATTAATGCAGTTTGACACCACTTTAACTGCTATCCCAGTGTATTACCCTTTTTTTCAGTCTTGCAGATCACTTTGAAGATCCAAAACTATTTTTGAAAGCAGAAAATTGTATGTATGCTTTTATTGGCAGTTTTCTCCAGTCATTTGATTTCTTGGTACTATAGAATTTGGTAGTTTTACAATGTGTTTAGCTTTTCTGCCAAAGAGGGCTGGTGCCTCACCAGACTACAAATCACAGGATTCTATAGCACTGATACATGGCAATCAAAATGGCACCAAACTGCATTAATCCTATAGTGTAGATGTATCTTTAGATTGATTTACATCACATGGATTTTGTGAAGATAAAGGTAAGGAGGAAACCAAGAACTCATTATTATTATTATTATTATTATTATTATTATTAATACCCTGCTTTATCTCTCTCAAAGGAGACTCATGGTAACCACTTGTCACGCTATTTGAATGCATGGTCAAAAAATGTATGGGTACTGAATTGTACCATCCATGATCTTATGCTCACTGTATTTAAAATGATTTTCCATAAAGGAGGATGTTGACAAGGCTGTTAAAGCAGCAAGAAAAGCTTTTGAGCTTGGATCCCGCTGGCGCACAATGGATGCTTCTGAAAGAGGAAAGCTGCTGAACAAACTGGCTGATTTAATTGAACGGGATCGGCTCCTATTAGCTGTAAGTGTGAACTTTTCATTAGTCGTACATGTCAAGCAATGCAAGAAACTTTGATTCTTGCAATGATCACAGAACATGTGATTTTATGACTTAAGAAGGATCCTTTTAGTTTTCTGTTTTGTTTTTTTTTTTAAAAAAAACTTGTTTTATGAGATGGGGGAACCCAACATTTTGACAAGTCACAAGTTTCATGATCTGCAGGCAGCATTATCTGAGAGATGTCATCAAAGATATAATGTTTATCTCAAACAATCAATACTTCTGGTTGAATTAAACCCCATGCTTAGTTTTATTCTCCAGAAGGGTGGCCCTTGAGTAAACTCTGACATTAGGTCTAGATAAAAGTTCCTCTTTTTGTGCTCAGCGAGACTGAAAAGTCAACCGATGCCACATTAAGGTCAATGTCTGCCTGCCCTGCTGTAGAAGAAAAATAAGGAGGGGAGGAGGCTGCCAATTAGAGCCTCCACTATCACTCTGAGTGCAAAGGTGGGTTGAGCAAACTCACTTGGCCCCGGGTCAGTGTGGCTCCACTCTATTGACCTCTGCTCTCAAATAGCATTTCTCTGATGTAAATGTATATTTTCTCTATCTAGAATGATCAACCGCAGCTGGGAAAGGAAAGTAGTAGAAGATAACGCAGAAAGTTCATTCTTGAGTTGAAATTAGGACTATAAGTACAATTTTTTCACATTTCCCCAAAAATCTAGCAAGCCTGGTGCTGCTGCCCAAAAAGATATAAATCTTTGCTAAATTTATTCTCAACAAAAGTTTTTAAAATTAAAACTCACCATGTTTATGACACTTTTTTGCATATTCTTGCATCATTTCTTTCCCATTTCAAAATATTTTGGACAAAAACACAGAAAGAGTATTTTTTCATATTTATTATCTCCAAAAACTGTGTGCACAAAACATTGTGTTTTGTGCACAATGCTATGCTTAATTTTTAAAAATACAACTTTCAGCACAAAATACAATTTTGTTATTTTTTTTGTTACTGCTGAAAAGGTGCTGTTCTTTTTGCCCTTGTGCTGGGACAAACAAACTATATGACTGACATTTTTTTCACCAGTTTATCTGATTTTTTTACATCCTCACTTCAGCCAGACTTTTCCTGATTATCCTTGATCATTGTGCAACCAGAGACACAGGGTTAAGTCCAACACAGTCATAAAAGTCTACTTGCATAATAGGACTTCCTCCAGTTTTTTACCATGTAGTCCTCTTCACCATCTGAAAATCTACAGCAGTGGTTCTCAGATGTTTTGGCCTTCAACTCCCAAAATCCTAACAGCTGGAAAAATGCCTGGGATTTCTGTGAGTTTTAGGCCAAAACACCTGGGATCTACAGGTTGAGAACCACTAATCTACAGAGACCAAAAGTGCCCTTACCTCTGTGGCTTTTTAGACAAGCTAGGAGTGTCATTGGCCAATTGTAGTAACAGAAATAGTTCCACCACTGGGTTATATATAATCCAAAATGTTTAATACCATTCTTAAATCCTTAACCTTTAACTACTTGCATATTTATTGTCTAAATATTAACTAAAACTGTTTGACTATACTGACTGAGATTATCATCTCCCAGACAAGAGGAAAGTTTAAGAAATGAAATGAACTCAATAGCTTCTTTCAGATAACGTGCATAGTATGCAAGAATGAAAATAAGTATAGAAACACAAGGAAATACCAGAGAGTTTAATTTTTTTTCAGTGCTTGCTTAGCAAATTGGCTATTGAGTTAGAATATTTATTTTTCCATAAAGACACGCCATACTAATCAGCACTCTTTTGGGCAGACATCCCTGCTTGTTTGTGAAGTAGTTTTGGACTTCAAACATTATAAATTAAAATTGTTCTTACATATCTGAAGCCATTAACTACCTTTAATCAGCAGTAGACTCCCCTATGTTAAATTTAACAATATGAAAGGTGGGAAAAACATTTGGTGTTATTTCGATCCCAAGTATGAAGAAATTTGTAAATTTGGAGCATTCTTATTTAAAATTATCTGAAACAAAATTCTCACCCATCTCTGATTGAATGTAATAGTATCTTCATTCCTTAGGTTCAAGGCAAGGAAGCAAAAAGATCAGTAATAGGAAAGGTCAGGAACTGGATAGTCCTGTTTCACAAATAGTCTGAAAACTCAGGCAATGAAAAGAGTGGAACTGAAGTAATCTATAGAAGCATCTTGAGCTTATTAACTTCCTCATATTTCAAACAGATCATAATAGATATGGATTATTTTTTACTATCAGGTGCTTTAGGCCATTTTTAGAGGAAGGGATTGGCAAGATCCAATCTAAATCTTCCTTTCCTAACAACAAACTACAGAATTCATGAGGTTGCCTTATGTTGACAGGTGACTTGAAGACATTACACATTGTTCTGCTTTTTATTATTTTTCCCAATATTTGCTATTTTCAGGGTGTTGTTTTGTTTTGTTTCTGTCATATGCACTAAATATTTTGCAAGAAAGTATTTTGGAAAAGCATATTTTAAAACATTCTGGTCTCTCTTGAAAGGGAACTATGTTCTCATATCCCCCGATGGAGCCCCTGGTGGCGCATTGGTTTAACCCCTGTTCTGGCAGGACTGAAGACCGACAGGTCACAGGTTCGAATCCGGGGAGAGGTGGATGAGCTCCCTCTATCAGCTCCATCTCCCCATATGGGGACATGAGAGAAGCCTCCCACAAGGATGATACAAACATCAAAAATCATCCGGGCATCCCCTGGGCAACGTCCTTGCAGACGGCCAATTCTCTCACACCAGAAGTGACTTGCAGTTTCTCAAGTCGCTCCTGACACGACAAAAAAAAATAATCCCCCGATTCTCCTGATTGGACATCAACAGTCCTGATTAATCTTATGCCATCCCACCTTTTATTATGATGATGAAGATTATTGATACATCCATTCAGTTAGCAAAATTCTGCCATACAAGTCTTATTGTGATATACATTATTCAGAATGTCACTTTACCTTATATGACACTTTATATATATTCCTTCGATGTGTATTGCCCATTTCCCATGCCCTCCCACCATGTCCCAATTTCTCACTTCACCTCCCACTTTCCCCTTGTATTCAACTTTCCTCCATTGCTACAGGTGGAGGCCTCTTCCACATAGCTGAACATTTCTGCTTTGAACTGGAATATATCGCAGTGTGAACCCAGATAACCCAGTTCAAAGCCGATATTGTGAGATTTTGTACCTTGATATTCAGCGTTGTATGGCTGTATGGAAGGGCTCTGAGTACAAAATTTAAAAGCAGTTGCATTCAACTCAACAAGGACAGGCAAAGATGAAATCTAACCTTCCCTAAAAGGCTCAGACAAAAGCAAACTGCAGAAACCTCTCTTAACTTGTGCATTTTTCCTCACTAATAAATTTTGCCATCTTCATCATACTCCACTGTCTCATATGCCAAAATAATTTGGCCGATTTGGGTGCTTAGAGTAAAGTGAAATACACACATGGTTTTATACAGCTACATAATTTTATTTCCTATGGATAATTTCTTGGCTATTTTCATTCCAGACTATGGAGAGCATTAATGCAGGGAAACTCTTTTCCAATGCCTACTTAATGGACTTAGGCGGCTGTATCAACACTTTACGCTACTGTGCAGGTTGGGCCGATAAAATCCATGGGCGTACCATCCCAATGGGTGAGTCAATCAGATAAGCTTTTATGATTCCAAGACGACTCAGTAATTGTGGAACTTAAATCTGAAATAGAGGTAACAGTATTCAATTAAAGAGGAGTTTTAGCTCAGAAAAAATAACTTTTAGAAATCTGTTACATAAGTATCACTGTGGGATAACTATCTTCTTTTTAAAATACAATTGGCAAATTTTGTTTAATTCACTAGTTTAACTGTAATCTTCATTGAAGCACCTACAGCTGTACAAATTGGCAGAGTCCCAATATAAATACTGATTAAAATAGGTTATTATTGCTAAGTGTCAGGAGACCTTATAACTCACACTTCCTCCTCACTCTTTGTTTGGAAGTATTTGTAACAAACCAGTTGGACAGGGTTCCACCAGCAAACAGAGTAAGGATCTCATCGGAAAAGCATATGGATTCACCACACATCATGACAAATCCATAGGGTCCCAGCAGGGGGCGTGGAGAACCCATCACTCCATGCCCTGCATCGCCTAGCTTCCCCCATTGCTCCAAAGGCAACACAGAAAGCCTTCTATGTTGCTACAGCTGTGCATACACTGCTTGCTCTCCCCTTTGGCCATGGAGCCTGGCCAAAAGTCGCTGTGCGTTGTGTAATGGGCTCCATGGTGAAATGGGAGAGAAAGTGGCAAATCAACCCATCTGATGAGGTACTTAGTCTCTAATCCATCCCTTCCACTCTAGTACACCATTTCAACCATTACTGTTAAGCTTTGGGAAGTGAAATAAGATCAAATCTGTTGGAGCAAGAGTACCAGAAGGTATGATTGCTGAAAGAAAAATGCTATGTACTTGAACCCATTTTATTTTACTTACAAAGTAGTGTGTGGGGTCCTGATCTGGCTTATATATACAGTCTTTATGTAGGTGGGTGGGTGAATTTAGGAAAGGAACCAGATTTGAGATATCACCCAAGACGCTCCTGATTTGGATTTGGGGAGGGAATACTTACTTGTAATTAAAAATTGAAAGGGATGCTACACTCTATTGTATGAAGTTGATATCTGAAAAGTTTTGAAGCTATATTTTGTAAAGTGTTCCTTATTCTATACACAGATTTATATTCATCCAACCATAACCTACACCAGTCTTAAGAGAATAAAAAATTGTTATATCCACAGTAGTTGACTACTCATCTACTTCTGTCACTGATAACATTTTCCTCTGGAGTTTGTTTCCTTAGCTCCCCAACTTTCCCAGTTGAATTAAACAATGCAAAAGAAAAGCAACTTTGCAATAGACATTCAGCTGAAAAGAAACAAACCCCAGAGCCTGATTCCATAGGGGTCACCAACATTTCTCTCATATATATAATTGTTAAAAATTAGGAGTGGTAATGCCTGACAACTGTTATACTCTTTGTTCTATTTGATCAATAGTAATTATTTGCCTTTCTTTCTAATTGTCTTACAATTTTAATATTGTGGACAGTGCTGAATAGCAAAAACATTTTTCTCATTTGTCCTTGCTTTGTCTTACCAAACTGTTCTTATTATCTTTCCTAGATGGAAACTATTTCACATATACAAGGCATGAGCCTGTTGGAGTCTGTGGTCAAATTATACCTGTAAGTTAAATTGATTTACTTAAGAGAACTAAATGGAAAGTTACTTTCTTACAACAACAGATTCCAGAATCTCTTAGGTAGTGGTGCTAGGGGGATGGGGAGTTGTAGCCCTCAAAAAGTAACTTTTCCAAGCTCTAAAGGCTTGCAACTGATATTGTCCTTCTGTCAGTGAGAGAAATCTTCCTTTACAATGAAAGGCCTTTAAACAAGTGGGGGATTTTGCTAACAGGAGGAGGAAGCTCTTCCTCTCTCGGTGTTGCCCATGGCCAACTTCCATCCCATTGCAAAGTACTTCAAGGGCCACAAGAGAGAAAGGGGAAATAATCTGATCACCTTGGGGGTAGAAGACTGTCTCTAAATAGGAACTCTTCAATTTCACAAAGGGAAGCGTTGGATGAGAACATGTGTTTTTCATTTAACCAGTATTATATTTCACATTGGTTGTAATTAAGTTATTGGTGTTAGAGATGGACAGAACAGTCTGCTTGGGGTTTTGTATGAGTTCATTCATGAATACAGGATACATGAACTGGAGCAGTTTGACTTTATGTGAATTCCTCAAACATCTTTGTTTTGGTATGGGTGTCTTCAAACAACAGTAATATTGAGTTTAATTCGTTATATCACTTTATTTATTTGTTTGCAGTTGTGCTCCTTTTACCGATGAACTAATTGTGCTTTGGACTGTAAAAAAGTTTTGATTAAGTAATATATTTAAAACCATCCTGATGATCCTCATGAATGTGAAGACCAAATTATACATTATGTTAAAGATGCATATCCGATTCTCTGAGTATTACGTGTGATGTATTCTAAAAAAAGATTAAGCTGCAATTTGGTTTACATATCTTTATTGTTCACTTTATTGTTCACTTCTGCTGTACACAAACAACACCACTACCTGAAAATGGTGACAAGCAAACATTAGGTGGTGAGAATTTACTGTTATGATGAAGTAAACCCCCAATCAGCTTTCCACCAGACAAAGGAAGATGCAGTATTAGAGGAAAAGATTTATGTCTCCCTAGCAGACCAAAGAGGACTCTTCATCTTTCAGTTCTGATCAGGAGGAGCCAAGAGAAGTTCTGATTGGCTTGCTATATGAGGGCTGGAGGAAGATCCAAAACAGGGCATAACCAACTCTTCCTGCCACACTCAGACACCCAACAAAGAAGCATCATTCCTGCGTGGCTCCACATATATATGCCATACCACCATAGGCTTCCAAATTACTGTTCCCTCACATTTACTGAGTTGATTATTTGTGGAGTTGATTAAAACATTTCTTTCTAGGAATCTCTTAAGTCTTCCAGTGTGGTTTTATGGTCAAGTTCTGCAAGAATTTGACCATAAAGGTGTAGCTGAAGAACCTAGAGATTCCTAGAGATACCATGTTAATCAAATCCGCAAATAATCAACTCTGCAGAATTTAAACCCACAAATGTGAAGGGTTGACTGTAATTGCAGGCTGCTCATGACATGTGTTTACTCATCAGCTAGCTTCAGTTCTTTGAAGAGCCTTGCTTTTTGGCAGACTTGGGAAAGTTCCTTTTAAAAAGAATTATTCTAATGACATACTGGAACAACCACAATTATACAGCAAGTGGGGTGATATTTGTTTTGCTATATTTTTAGTAGCTTTATAGAGCAGTTATCTAAGATACTAACAAACATTCAATTCATTCTGAAAAGCTAAAACAAGGATACTTATAATGTTAATGTTAGACTGCCTATGCATCTAATTAAGTGAAAAAATGTTAGCTCTGATCATTGACTTGCTTTTAAAAGGCATATTTTCATATCCAACAGCATAACTGCAAGAGGTCAGATTGATTGAAATCAAGGCATACTTCAGAAAGTAATGTTGGCTAAAACTTCTTTCATGAGCTAGTTACTTAAAAAGAAAAAGAGACCTAGTGATCTCTATAGTGATCCTAGTGACAGCAGCAAGAGTTTTGAAATGGATAGAAATGGCAGGAAGAATTGCAGCCTGCATTTAATGCCAGTGGTTTATGGTTTGAGTAGAGCATCACCTGAACACGTTGGGTTGAAATCTCTTCACCATTGAGATCTCAAACCACTCTTGTATTTAATCTGTATTCTTGGCTGTGACTGGGTTATAAGAAGAAGGAACAGTGAATTCTTTGCTTTTCTGTGAACAAGACATTTGGATTTCACTATTAAAAATACTTTTAAAGGAACGCGTGTTCTTTCCATCTTTACCTATTTAGAATTTCTCCACAGCATTTCTTAAAATTATGGCAGTATTGGTCATGAAATACCTGCAGCTGCCTTAGGTACTGAAGATAGTTATCAAACTGGTTGTCAGGGAAATCTAGTTCCTGTCATGTCAATACCATATACATCAATTGAAACAAAACAGTAAAATGGATAAACTTAGCCCTTGACACTTTCTAGGACTGAAGTATCTTCTGATGTTGTCAGACTTCTATCTCAGCAGCTCTGGCTCTTGGATATGCTGCCTAGGGCTGGTGAAACATGAACCACAACAATATTTGCAGAGTCTTGCATTCCCACTGGTGATCTTCTAAAGAGGCAAGAATGCAAAAATATTTAAGTCAAGTGCATAGGGTATAGACTCCATTACACCCTCCTTGCTACAACTTGTAACTTCCTTTGAGAACATAATTGAAATAGATTCAGTTTTAGTGTGAGCAGTAGCAGTTTGATACCAGTTTTAGTTAAATCAATAGTTAAATATAGAAGCCTGATTAAGCCAACATTTCCCATCCAAATTAGTTTTTTTTTCTAAATGCTGGTCAGATGAAAGCACAGCCATAGCTAAATACCGTCAGGTTGGCTTCTTTTGCTTGTTGTTCCAGTTCAAAGGTCCTCACCAAAAGGCCCTGAACATAAGCTTCTCATTGCTGGTCATACAGGAGCAACTGCTAGTTTTTATCCAACACCTTTTTAGGACATTATTTGAAAAAATCCTCACTAGTCTGGTGAGGTACTTAAACTTCTACTGAGACATGAGTAATTCAGGGAGAGAGCAATAGTGATATCTACAACTGAATTCGAAGTACCCCACTGAACTGGAATCACTAACTAAAATAAGGGGCACAGTTGTCTAAAGGAGGAAATCTCAGCAAGTATTACTTGCATCAAAAGCCGCAGGAAGATTCAAGGGCCCTGGCCCTTATTTACCTGGCAAGCCAAAACTGAACTAAATTGTAAGTCCCAGAGTTCTGTAGGCTGGGTACAAGACAGTTGTATAATATAAACATTGGTGTTGTAGTATATTAGGCTGTGAGATAAATCGGACTAACAGTGTTTTAGAATTAATGCAGTCTGACACCCCTTTAGCTGCAATGGAATCTTGGGATTTGTAGTTTAGTGAGGACTAGCATGTTTTGGGAGAGAACGCTAACAGCCTTGTAAAACTACAACTCCCAGAGCATTGAGCCATGATAGTCAAAGTGGTGTCAAACTGCATTAATTCTACAATGTTGCACACCCTTAGATACACTCAAAAACTAAAAATAGCATTAGCCAAAGTTGTATGCTGACAAGTGTGTGCACAGTTGGACATTCTACTTATTTTGGATGTCAGGTCTCAAAATTGCCTAGACATTGACTATGCTGAATCAGTGACTATGATGGAGGATTCTGGAAATTGAACTCCAAAGACTAACTGTTCAGAGCATGCATGCTCACACAGTTTTAATACCAGCAGTCTGACAGGTCTTGTAAATCTGAGTGTAATTACAGCCATGTTGAAGTTCAAATAGTGACAATGAACACAAATCTTGAAATACCCATGAAGCTTAGATGTGGCCTTTTGTTTGTTAATTAATAGACCAGTTCATATTTTCACATGCTTCACTGTGGCCAAATAAACAGTCTGCTGGCAGTCTCAAAGACATTTCATGCTGACTGTAAGTCAGCAAACCCCATCCTTCAAAGACTTCTGAGATGTAGAAAGGAGTGACCACTGTGTGATCTCTGAAGCTCAAGGAGGCCCAAGAAAGGAACCCTTTGAACTGCAGCCAATAAAGCCAATCTAAAGAGAAATATGTGGCAAAGTACTCCTTCAGTTCCTACAGAAGGGAGTTGGAGAGAAATATATATATCAATCCAATTAACACGCTTTCAAATTAGGTCAGCATTTGCTTCAGGAGTTGGAGAGACATTTTTTTTTCCTGTGTGAACTGAAAGAGTGGGTTTCCCTGTTGCAAAGCAGATGTTTATGCTTTGAGTTTGAGAAAGTTATTTTTTGGAATGAGAGGTTCCCAGATTTTCCAACCAGCATGGGCACTAGAGGAGTCCGGTTGTTGCCATCTGAAAAAGTTACTTTCCCAGACTCTAATCAGAACTAAAGCTCAGAAAGTGTCCATGAAAAATAGGGAGGTACCTTCTTCTTTAAGTCAATTGGAAATGGTGAAAAAGAGGGAGATAGTATTACAGATGGAAATCTGAAGTATGCAAGACTTGAGCAGGGCTGTTAACAACAGGCTCAGAAAGTCAGAAGATGTAATAACAACACAGCTTTCTTCTTCTTCAGTCAAAGTGACATAAGGAGTCTTTGTGCAGCACACTGCAGGGGTCTTGTCCTCAGCTGGTCGCCAAACTGAACACTGTTACCAGTATCTTGTCAACATAGCCCTCTAGTATCAGTAAGCATCAAAGAGTCATGTATATGAATGAGTCCCTCATTCCTACACAATCCTCATGAATGATTAGAAAGCATGAGATCATAGAATCCTTGAGTTGGGAGAGACCTCATGGGCCATCCAGTCCAATCCCCTGCTAAGAAGCAGGTAAATCGCATTTAAAGTACCCCCGACATATGGCCATCCAGCCTCTGTTTAAAGGCCTCCAAAGAAGGAGCCTCCACCACACTCTGGCGCAGAGAGTTCCATGCTGAACAGCTCTCACAGTCAATAAGTTCTTTCTAATGCTCTGGTGGAATCTTATTTCCTGTAGTTTGAAGCCATTGTCCTAGCAATTCATTGGTCTCCTCCATTTCTAGTATTGCCTTTCTTCTTTTTAGTGGAACTTCCCACTGGTGATGTTCATCTGGAAGATTGCCCCAGCTCTCTGTTGTGGAAACACTGTGGTCGTCAAACCAGCAGAACAGACTCCACTCACTGCGATTCATATGGGCTCTCTAATTATAGAGGTAAGTTGCTATAACAAAACTACATCAAGCGTGTTTCTGAAGAAGGAAAGCTCATGCTATGTGGGTGCTCACTCTTCCACTGCTGCAATGCTAATAAAATAGCAAGGGCTAGTTTCCTTTGTGTCATTGCCCCAGCTCCCAGCATGTCTAGTCTTGTCTTGGGAAACTGCAATGCATGGCAGGCAAACCACTGAAGCAAATCAAGGGCAAGAAGCTGGCATCTTTGAGCCTAAATTGCTCAGAAAACAAATCATTAGGAGCTTAGCAAACTGAACATCTTGCCAAGTGCCAGGTCTTCTAGAAACAAAAGCAAACAAGAACTCAGAAAAACAGTGTGTTGACTAATGTCAGGAGAGGGTAAGGGGCATTATTGTATTTTTCTGCATACAGAATCTCAACCATGAAGTGCTGTTCTGCATCTTGAAGTTTTAATTTAATGGTCTGGTTGGGATATTTACTTTGCTCATGAAATGGAAGAAAATGAGCTTGAAATGACTACTTGTCAATCCTAGTACGCTCCAGAAAATGAAACATGTCTGGCATAAGGCTGTACATCTAAACCTAGAATTTAAGTCCCATTTCTACCTACAGGAGTTAAGTGAAAGAAGAAAATGAAAACTAGAATGGTAAGGGGATGTTGGTATAAACAAGGAGAGAAAATAGTTGAAGGGTGTTTTTTGTACCCGGATGTTCCCAGATTCCTTTTCAAGAAAGAATTAAGAAGGGACCAGATTAAGACCCTGGAAGGCAATCAAGAGTTAGCATAAAACAGTGGATCCCAACCTTTGACATGCCAAATACTTTAATTTTGATCCCTAAAATCCCTTATCTTTTATCATCGGCCAAGCTATCTCGGACATGTGAGAACTGAAGTTCAGAACATCTGGAGACCAAAGACTGCGATCAGATCAACTGGTGCAGAAGGCAATGCTGCATAAGATGGACCAAAGTTTGGAAAAGTTATTTTTTGGATTACAGCTCCCAGAATTCCATAGTCAACATGAATGATCCTGTCTAGGGGTTTCTGGGAGCTGTAATCCAAACAGGAAATGCTTCCCAGATCTGTGGAAGACTTGTAGTCTGACTCAGAATGAGGAAACTTTCATATGGAATCCTGAAGTGGCAGGGTTGATTGTTTTATGACAAGAGACTGTAGCTGACATATCATACTTCTGAATGCTCTCCTATGTATGTTGTAGCAGATGTGCCAATTTTTCTTCTTGCCAGATGGCTTTGACAGTTTTGTGGGCACCTATGTTTTGGTGGAGAAACACTTTGAAATGTTGCCCCCTTTTTACATCATTACCCTACTATTTTATTTTGTTGCATGTATGAATCAGGCCTTACTTTCAGAGAAATTGGGTTTTTGTTGATATGCAGAAAAGGAACCTGCAGCTGTCCAGGGACCATGGTTAAACACAGACACATAAGAAATGACTTGAAGGCACACACACAAAAAGTGGAGGAGAGGATTAAGTCCAGCAGATACCGGCTGCTCTTCTCTCCCTTTCTCACTACATCCACAACAGTGAAAGTTGGTTCAGAAGGAGGGCTCTCACCAACCACTGTGATGGCACTGTGCCTTGTTGCTCTTTTCTCCCTTGTTGCCTTAAGAGGCCCTAGCAGTGCCTGTTGAGACAGGGGTTCCTCAGCTGCTGACGTAGGCATGATGAAGCTGCCCCTTTCTGCTTTCAAGCAACAGTAGTGACAGATGGAATGAAGAGAGGACCTTTCATCAGCTGCTAGGACTATCGTGATGAAGTTGTTTCTACCTGCTCACTCTGAGGCAGGCATGTAGCCGGGGGGGGGGGGGGGGCTTGGGGGGCTTCAGCCCCCCCCCGAAATTCTCATGGTGGTTCGCGAAAAGGCCTTACTGGTGCATTATTTAAACTGTTATGTTTATTCATATCATGATATGATCACCATACTCAATATATCCCATATGCATGGGGGTATTGGGGTAATGATACAAAAGGTTTGCTAGGCTAGACCCTCTTTCACTCAGACTCAGCCCCCCCCCAACTCAGCCCCCCCGAAACCCCCCTGAAAAAATAGCCCCCCCCCCCCCGAAACGAAATCCTGGCTACGGGCCTGCTCTGAGGCCATAACAACATCAATTGGAATTGAAGGAGGACCTTTTCTCAGCTGCTGGGCTTAGATACAATGAAGCTGCGTAATGTTTTGCATGAATTATCCCATGCGCAAAAGATCAAGCTTAAACTCTCACGGTTTTAAGCCAAATGTGTATTAATTCCAAGTGCGCCACTTTAATGGTTTTTATAAGTGAACCAGATCATATCTGATTGGCTTTGCTCATCCCAACATTTTCTAGATGTGTTGGACTACATCAAATCTACTATCCCTGTCAACTGGGCAAAGATGAGGAGGAATGCAACCTGAACAGATCTAGAGGATATAGGGCTGGGAAAGCACTGTTTAGTCTACCCAGCCTGGTTGGGAAGATTAAAATGAGGGGATCGCATATACCATTCTCGGCTGCTTTCAGATATAATGGCAACAAATAAAATGGGTGTAATTTTAGGACTGAAATGAGAAATTGTGTTCCTTTTCCCTCTGATACTCAGGCAGGATTTCCACCAGGAGTTGTGAATATTGTTTCAGGATATGGACCCACTGCTGGAGCAGCCATTTCCAATCATATGGACATAGATAAAGTGGCATTCACAGGCTCCACTGAGGTATTTTCCTAATTGCAAATAATTGTAACTAGAAAGTCTAAGCACCAGATTCTGACAAATGATTTATCACTTGGCTCGCTTTGTGTGATTATGTTATTTTTTTCTGGCCCTGAGCTTGTTAAACAATGTCAGTTTAATGATTTCTTGGTGGGTTTAGTCACTTTAAATAATACACTGTTTGAAATAAAAGGAACAGCTTTCCAAGCAAAATAATGTGAGAAGATAAAGTTGTATGCCTGGTTGTACTTAAAAACTAAACATGCATATTTCCTCTAAATGTGAGTTGGAGGAGACACACACCAAAGTAGGTTAACTTCCTTAATAAAATGCTAATCTCAAACAACAAAGTTAAGGAAAATGCAACACATACATAGATTTATCTTTTTAAAGTGGTGCAGCAGTATATAACCCACAAAAATTACTGGATGCAGTATCAAAAAGTCCAATTTGATTAACACATTTTCCAAAAATAGATAGAACATACAATATCAATGTACCACTTTTAAAAGTAAATGAAAATGCCCATGCTGGCTAGAGGCTTTTGAGAATTGTACTCCAAAAAGTAACTTTGCTAAGCTGTGTCTTTGAAGCAGGAATATTCAATTACAATCTGTACTTGTGCAAATGTTCCATTTATATTCTCTTTCAGGTTGGAAAGAAGATCAAAGAAGCTGCTGGAAGGAGCAACTTGAAGAGGGTCACTCTGGAACTTGGAGGGAAAAGTCCCAATATCATCTTTGCTGATGCTGATAGTGAGTTGCATATTTCTCTTGGATTTACTTTGTTTAAAGTCTTCACACTAAAACATTTTCTGATTGTCGCCTGCAGGGGTTAGCTAACAGAACTTAGAAGTAACTAATGACAATTATTAGTTGTTTGAAAGTAATTAAGCCATATTGTAATTGTCACTTAATGTGGAATAACTCTCTTACTTTTAACAACAGTGTCCTGAATTCTGTTGGGCTCCCAATTAAACTAAGCCTATTCAATCAGTAAGATTTACATAAATGTTGACTCATTCTTAATCAACAGGTTTAAAGTTCTACTCTAGCTAGGACTAACTAAGAGGATTTGGGCCATTGACTGTGATAGCAACAATATACTTCAGAGACTATTTGATTTCCATTGGCTACTTCAGTCCCATTTTGGGAGAAAAACAATATTTAGATAGATAGACAGATAGGTAGGATTTGGGGACTTTAACTGGAAGATCTGATAAGTAAGCAAAGATAATGTGTCTGTATTACAACCAACTATGTTACAACTAATAAACAGAGTGCTGGTATATTTATTTTCCCCCCCCCCTTCTCTTTACAGTGAACTGTGCAGTTGAATATGCACACATTGGCCTATTCTACCATCAGGGGCAATGTTGTATAGCTGGATCTAGAATTTTTGTGGAAGAGCCAATCTATGATGAATTTGTACGTAGGAGTGTGGAAAGAGCTAAGAAAATTGTCGTTGGAAATCCTCTGACTCCTGGAATACATCAAGGTCCTCAGGTAAATTTCAGGAGGAATATTTTGTGCCAGAATTTTCACAGTCATATCTGGACTTGAAACCCAGGGCCCATCTACACTGTTCACGTATGCTGGAACCGATCCAGAGTGGAGTACTCTGGATCAGCATTGGGGGAGTTCACATAGCCAGTTGGCAAACTGGCTCAGTGACTGGTGTGTGCCCACATTGCACAGCACCAAGGTGGCCCAATGGCAAGGAGGAGTCCGCATGGCTCAGCAGCACCAAATCCAGTTCAGTGCCATTGGATCACCATCCTTGCTATCGCCCTGTCCTCACCTAAGCAGTAGGAGGCCCAGGTGGCGCAATGGCTTAAACCATTGTGCTGGCTGTAGTGAAGATTGCAAGGTTAGAGGTTCGAATCTGTGGAGAGCAGGTCGAGCTCCCTCTGTCAGCTCCATCTCCCCATGCGGGAACATGAGAGAAGCCTCCCACAAGGCTTCAAAAACATCAAAAACATCTGGGCATCCTCTGGGCATCCTTGCAGACAGCCAGTTCTCTCACACTGGAAATGACTTGCAGTTTCTCAAATAGCTCCTGACACGAAAAAACAAAACCTAAGCAGTTACCACCAGAACAAAATTGCTGTTTCTCATTGCTTCTCACATACACATGCTGGCCGGAGCACCAGACCAATACAGGAAAAGGGAGGAGGAAATAAGGAATTGTTCCCTCATTTCTTCAATTGCATCAGAACATGCAATGAACAATAACCATCAGCAATTTCATGCCTGGTGGTTCCTGCTAAGCAAACTACACATGCCCAAAATGCAGGTGAGCTCTAGAGAAGTTCCAGAACATCTCCCAACTTTGTTAAATGTGGGACAAGGCCTTGCAAGGCATTAGGATTAATTGGCCTAATGCATTATGTGGACACCATGGAGTTCAGTCACTCCCACCTTGATTCATTTGGGCCATATAAGTTGGTCCCTAGATTTCCCAGCAACTGAATTTAAATATTGTTTTTTCATACCAGTAAAGGGGCATTGGAAAATTTCAAGCCTTTCTTGAATCAATGTAGTTTTTAATTTATTAGTCATCTTCAGTGTAATTAGCTCCTTTCCTCTCCTTACAAATATGTACTTCTTTGTCAAAAGAAGACAGGATTTTGATGTTTTTGTATTTGTGGCATGCTAATGTTAACTTGGACTTGGAAAAATGTTGAAGAAAGTAATTGAAGAACAAAGATTTTTTACATTACTTTAAAGTAGACAAAGATATTGAGATCATCCAAGATTCCTAATCCTTGGCTTGGTCATTAATCAAAACAGAGAATGTAGTCAAGAAATCGGAAGGAGCCTCAGCTCTGAGTTTGCAAGAACCTAAGTAGGATTGCTGAGTGACTTGGTGATATCTCATTCATAGGGTTGCCATAAATCAAAGTTGACTTGATGGCAATTAATGACAGCAGCAACATTAGATTAGATTTGTCCACATTAAACCATCACAAAAATGGATTGTTGTAGATTTGTTGGGCTGTATGGTCATGTTCTAGAAGCATTCTCTCCTGACATTTCACCTGCATCTATGGCAGGCATCCTCAGAAGTTGTGAGGTCATAAAAATTTTGCAAAATCGGTATTTCCATTGATTTTTTTATTGTTAATTCTTCAACATTTAAAAAAATGACTAAAAATGGCAATTTAAGATATAAAGAAGTTTAAAGCATTCATCGTTACTTCAAAATAGTGACTTGATTTCCTATTAAAATTACATTTAAAATTTATTTTTGAAATAATTTAGGATGTTTGTAATAACCAAAACATCGTGGAATGCAATTGCCATCTTCAATCTGATCCCAGTTGCTACTTCCTGGTCTCTTCAAACCCTCTCCAAAACTGACTTGTCTCTTTTGGTTTCCACACCTACTGCACCTGCCTACCTTGCCTTCAGGGAACTGGCCCCAGCCTGCCTTTCTAACCAGTGATTCTGACACACCCTTGAATCTTGACTTCTCAACCCAAGCATGCAGGGAGGGCACAGTACCCACCCCAACATGTGATGCTGAAATATTTTAGCATTTGTCAGTGATAATGAAGCTTGCCTCATTTTAGACACGAGAGTTCTATCTGAAATAATTGACTTCTTTCTATATATGAAAAGACCCATTGAGAAACCTCTTCATTCTATGTAGTAATAAGAGAACTGATATGATAATATCAGGGTGCTCACATAGCCTGAAAATTTGACCAGAAAGTACTTACTAACCAGCTCTCACAACATTATTGAAAAATATGAGACTCTTGTTCATAAATTAAGCAGATTATGCCATATTCTTATACAGCTATGTGTTGATTTTTAGATGTTGTGGAGCTTAAATCCAGTGTTGAAGCAGTGTTAGGAATTAGGAGCAGCAAATGTGTACCCTTCCATATCTTGTTGAACTGTGGCTATCATTGGCTCTAAATATCACAGTCAATGTATAGGGACCATGGGAGCTTCATTTGAGTATTTGGAGGGCCACTCTGTCCCCATCCTTAGAATATAGCCTGCTGTAAAATTTCCTGTAAATATGAGTTCTGTTCAGGTGCCTCAACCAGCTCCCCAGAGAGCCATTTGCAAAGAGCTAATTTCATCAATAGACCTAGTCAAAAGAAAATTCAGCACAATTGATGCAATTTATTTATTTATCGTGTCAGGAGCAAACCAAACAATTGTATTGTATTTAAAAACACATACACACACAAAGTTTGCAAACTTGGCATTCTATTAAATGTCCTTTGACCAGTAGTTGCTGGTCTGTATACTCTGCTGCTGAGTACACATGCCCAGTGCRGAACACATCTCACTATGTGGATGTGGCTCTTAATGAAACATGCCACATTATCACGGGGTGTCTGCACCCTACACCACTGGAAAAATTACACTGTTTAGCCAGTATTGCACCACCTGACATCCACCTGGAAGTAGCAACCAATAGTGAAAGGACCAAGACAGTGACATCTCCGGCCCATCCCCTGTTTGGATATCAGCCAGCATGCCAACAACTTAAATCAAGAAATAGTTTTCTAGGATCTACAGAGGTGMTCACAGGAACACTTCAGCAAGTGAAAGCCCAAAAGTGGCAGGCTAAAACCCAGAACCTCAATCAATGGCTTATACCAAATGAGAGACTCCCCCCCTGGGCACACAGAAAACTGGGCAACTTGGAAGGTGCTGAACAAACTGTGCTCTGGCACCACGAGATGCAGAGCCAACCTTAAGAAATGGAGCTACAAAGTACAATCCACAACATGCAAGTATGGAGAAGAGCAAACCACAGACTTCCTACTACAATGCAACCTGGGCCCTGCCACATGCACAATTGATGCAATGTATGTGATGAATAGCTTTCTACTATGCGTGGAATTGTGCAGCTCTCCTGACATTGTTGAACTCGCTCTCCATTAAAGCCAGTAGTGGGGAATGCTTGAAACTGAAACTTAACAAAATCTTGAGGACCACAGAGTCCCAACCTCTGTCTTACACATTTTTATGTGGCTCTTTAAACCACTGGCATGCCTTTTCCAGCAGACTCCATCAGGGAATAGTGGCGTTCTGAGCCAGCCTTTAGTCCTGTCCTTTCAGCAGACTCTTCAAAAAATATAAACAATAAAAACCCCAGCTCATACCAACATCCACCACTGGAAATGACTTGAGTTATTCTCATAAAAAGTGTCAGGGGAAACTGTGATGCATTCCAATAAATATAGAAGACCTACCTAGGCCATTGTGCTAAAAATCCCAAGGTCTACTATTATGTCTCCAGAATTCTGCAATCAGAACCCCCAAATTCTGGAACCAGACTAAACTACAGGATAATGTTCTTGGATAATGAGCCTGGAATTTGTGTACAATGCAAATTCATTTTTTTTTCTTTCTAATCAAAGCTTTTTTGGCTGACTCTTGTTAATGACTCAGTGTAACTGCAATCTTAACATCAGTTCCTAGGTTCTCAAATCAATGTAACTTCTCTTGAGTTGGTCTGAGAATTGGTCTGAGAATTGCAGCTGTGCCGGAGGAAAAAAATGGACTTCAAAATGTAACCAACAGAGTTAAAACACTTTCTGAGAAATGAATGTAATTGTGAGTGAAGGGGAGTTTAAGAGAATCTTTGGACCATAAGCATGCTGAGAACTTTGCTGAGCAACACTTTCTTTTTTTCTTTTGATTCTTCTGTGATTAAATTCCTAATTACTGGACTTTAGGGGGAAGACTGGCAAAGGTCCAGCATCTCAATGGCAAATTGTTCCTTTATTCCTCAGTAGTAAAGATTTTGTTTCTGCTTTGTTAATCTCAAGACCAAATAAGCGGTGAGGGAGTGTCTTATCTGGGCACTGTGTTTTCTGTTTAGATTGATAAGGAGCAGTATGATAAAATACTGGCAATGATTGAGAGTGGGAAAAAAGAAGGAGCCAAACTGCATTGTGGAGGAGGGCCCTGGGGAGACAAAGGCTTCTTCATCCAGCCCACAGTTTTCTCTGATGTTACAGATGACATGCTCATTGCAAAAGAGGAGGTAAGGGAAATCGGGACATCGTGCTTTTTGACTCAGTGTTCTATTTCAGTAGCTGCATGCAATGTGAATTAAATCTATATCTGTATCTGTAGAGAGGAGTTTGCACAGTAATACTTTCCTCCCTGGTACAGACTGCTTTAACAACAGATAAAGCATTCCTAAAATATGTGCATATCTACTTTGACTCAGCTAATAGTTTGTGTCAGCACTACTGCTTAACCTTGGATGTTTCTGCAATTGTTATTGTCCCATATTCATATTTCTATAACTGATTCACTTGTAAGGCCTTCTTCCTAGACACTTATGGTGTAACTAGGAGGAGGGCTAAAGGCATTTCTCCTTTAAATAAGAATTCTGCTGCCACAAGGAAATTTGCCCCACATTTCTAGCACTGCACAAAACAACAATCAATTAAATTTGCACAAAATAAGTTCCAAATTGCTATTTTTAAAATACTTTCTTGCAGTGGGACAAAAATAGTTGAAATTATTTGTTGCTACCCTTAGGAAGGAACATTAGGAAGAATTACATCCCTAACATGTCCTGGTTTGTATCTGTGAAATGTTTGAGGCCATGGGCTAGGTGAAATCCCGGACCTGTAGAGAGAGGGGGAGAGTAGGGAAGAAATAACAAATGACAAGAAAGACAAGCCTTCTTATCTCTCCTCCACAACACACTGTCCTTCCCACCAACATTATACTTCCCATAAGTTGTCCATCCCAGGTTGAACATACGTGATCACCTCAAATGTTTCTCGCAGAGATTGGGTTCTAGACTCTCTTTATGAAGGTCTCTGAATGAGGAGTTGGAAAGAAGGCTTTTGCTAGCAAAAGCAAATTGTGTGTAAGGTGGTCAGTTCCTGGAACCTTTTTTCCAAAAGCTTGTCAAAGTCTTTGGAAAGGTTTGTATTTAAATGTAGCTAAATAACCAGTATCATAAACTGGAAATTTGGTGCAATGGTACTAGTTGTGGAGGAACGAAAAAAATTCTGAAACACAAAAGCTTTTTGGGGTAAAGATTCATCAACTCTTAGACAGAACACAAAAACGCTCCTAACAACAAGGCAGTGATTATTGTTTGTTCTGGTCTGAAACAGATATTTGGACCAGTGCAGATGATTATGAAATTCAAAACTATAGATGAAGTCATCAAAAGAGCAAACAACACTTCTTATGGCCTAGCAGCTGCAGTATTTACCAAAGACATCGATAAAGCTTTGACATTTACATCTGCTCTTCAAGCTGGAACAGTCTGGTATGTACCCTTACGTGGGTGGTTGAGAAAGTAACACCGTTGCTTTCTAATGGTTTAATGTATGCCAACTTTGCACAAAATTTATACAATATTATGTATAAGATTACCTTCAGGTTATGTGTATAAGCTGTATATGAAATATGCATGGATTCATGTCTAAACTGGAACCCATCTCCAAGATATCTCATTATGTTCCTACAAATGAAAGCATTCCAAAATCTAGTCCCAACCATTTGGATAAGGGATGCCCAATCTGTATTATTATTATTATCATTATTATTATTATTATTTTCAGAATTCTTATTAAGCACCACATGAGAGCAAATTTGTATGCCTATAGTTCATAAATGATAAAGGCAAAAAACTTCCAACAAGCAAACTCAAAAACAACGGTGAGTTTGTTTCTAGCAGTAATAGTATTTCTTGAACAGAGTTCTTCTCAGAAACATCCCAGTGCTGAAAAAGAGGAGACTAACTTATCTTGGAGAGGGAATTCCTTATTTTCTTAAGTGAAACTCCCACACATTCTTCCACAGTTGCCTTTTGGTTCCCATACAACTGGGATGGTGAATTTGTTCTCATTCGGGAGCAGGACATATTCAAGCTGTGGAATTTGTTTGGAGAATATGGTTCAGCATCTTGAACAATTCCTTCAACGTCTGGAGTGAATTCTGGGGTTCATTTTCTGACCCCTTGACATGGAAACCATCAACTGACACTGCACAGAACCAGTCTTGTTAACAGGCTGAGCTATAAATCTATCCACAAAAAGTTTCCATCACCTTCTCTCTTTTCTCTTTAGGGTTAACTGCTATAGTGCAGTGTCTGCTCAATGTCCTTTTGGAGGATTCAAAATGTCTGGAAATGGCCGTGAGCTGTAAGTACTGCTAATAGGGATTTCTTTCAGATCTTGAAACTGGATTTTCATCCATATGATACTCACAGGAATTTTAAAAGCAAGGCCTTGCTATCAGTTTTAGGAGCAAAATATCGCTACAAAATCCCTATGTGTTCAGATTGCTTTGTTTTCCTACTCTGAATTCCAGCTATCTGATTTGGCTTATCAGAAACATGAGTAACCATTGAAAAGAAATGTGAAGAAATTTCACTACTATGTGCAAACTAGTAACAATAATTCATTATATAATGTGGTGGTCACGGAACAGTGACTACAGAGTTGGCACTGCTGCAGATACTTCTGTTACATTTTTCGTGCTACTGAGAAACAGCAAGGCAGATTTTAAAAGCTACAAAGAACATGATGTGCCATGCAATTGGATTTCTTTTAAAAGAGCTAGTGCAAGGGAATCCAGGTCAGTGGTATTATAGCCACATTCCAAAGAACCCAGCAACTGGTTCTTCATGGCTGTGGGGAGGAGCTCATATTTCTTTCTTATAGCTGGTGGACTAAACCAAGAGTCAGTTGCCCATTTGGTCAACTGCTGTTCATGGAACAGGGCACCATTTTCTCCTTAGAATCATAGAATTGGAAGAGACCTATTGGGCCATCCAGTCCAACTCCCTGCCAAGAAGCAGGAAAAATGCATTCAAAGCACCCCTGACTGATGGCCATCCAGCCTTGTCTTAAAAGCCTCACAAGAAGGAGCCTCCACAACACTTGGGGGCACAAATTTCCACTGCTGAACAGCTCTCACAGTGAGGAAGTTCTTCCTAATGTTCTGATGGAATTTCCTTTCCTGTAGTTTGAAGCCATTGTTCTGTGTCCTAGTCTCCAGGGCAGTCCTGCTCCCTCCTCCCTATGACTTCCCCTCACATATTTACACATGGGCATCATGTCTCCTCTTAGCCTTCTCTTCTGCAGGGTAAATATGCCCAGCTCCTCATGGGGCTTGTTCTCCAGACTCTTGATCATTTTGGTCACCCTCCTCTGGACATATTCCAGCTTGTCAACATCTCCCTTCAATTGTGGTGCCCAGAATGGGACACAGTATTCCAGGTGTGGTATGACCAAGGCAGAATAGAGGGTAGCATGACTTCCCTGGATCTAGACACTGTACTTCTATTTATACAGGCCAAAATCCCATTGCTTTTTTTAGCTGCCACATCACATTGTTGGCTCATATTTAACTTGTTGTCCACGAGGACTCCAAGATCTTTTTCACACATACTGCTGTTGAGCCAGGCGTCCCTCATTCTGTATCTGCATTTCATTTTTTTTCTGCCTAATTTATTTATTTATTATTTATTTGCTTTATTTCTATACCGCATTTTTCAGCCCAGCCAGGCGACTCAATGCCTAAGTGGAGTATCTTGCATGTGTCCCTGTTGAACTTCATTTTGTTACCATAGTTTTATTCCAGGCAGTTTCCAGTTTCTCTCAACCAGTCAGTATTAGCAAGGGCTCATTTGAAATCCCTTTACGTATAAATAGAAGTTTATAGTTTTCAAAAATTAGATACTAAAGTCCTACCAGTCTTCTTTGGCACTCACTTGTGAAAGCAAGGCTGTGTACTCTTTGTACAGTCATAGATGTGACTRCTTTAGCTATTCAGCTTTACTACGGCATGCTTGCGTTGTACAAGGGGACAATGCATGGGGGAAAAGGGGGAGCATAGTGGTTATTTTCTCCATCTGTAGCAAGTAATTCTGGGTGCTAGTGCAGTTGTTGAGAGCCCACATGACAAGCAATTGGCAGCACTGACATGGGAATTGGGCCTTCCAAGATGGACCTGAAAGAGTAAGGTGTTGCARTCCAGATCAGGAAACGAGACCATAAGAAAACCATCCACCACACTTGGCTGTGGGGAAAAACAATCCCTTTTTATTGATGAAAAAATGGTTACAAAATAGAGGAAAATGCAAAGTCAAAAAGCCACAGTAAAATTCAGAAGTCAGGAATATCTATGGACTAGATCAAAATTCCAAAAGCAACACTGTCAAAACCTGGAACCTGTTAGCATTTTACTAACCGTACTTGGAACACTAGAAGCCTCTTGGGGGTGCAGGCCACGGGAAATGGGAAATCTGCCAAGGTAATGCCTCAGTCTAAACTGATGCCTGATCTAACGAGACAGCCCGGGGAGAGGCACTTAAAACTAAAGAAACTGTTTCGGGACATGCCTCCAGGCTTTGAAGCCTGGGCCTCCCGTTCCCTTAATCTGCTTGACCTTCGCAGACTCTGCGATTCACTCCTGTTTTTCCAAATCTGCTCTTTTCTATCCTCATTAAGGAAGCCAGGTGCTAGCTCCTCTGGAGAGCTATCCCTGCTTGGTTCTGAAACATTCTCATCAGGCTGTGTAGTTTCACTTTCCAAGCCACTGACCTCAGAATCAACATCTTCCAAACCATCAGGGAAAAATACATGTTCAGTAGCCTGTTCAGTTGCATCAGGAAATACAATCAGAGAATCAGGTTCAGGTTCACATGCAGGCTGAACCCCAACACAAGGTCTCTTTATGGACCAATGCACCAGTGCTCAGTGCAGGATCAAGGGGTCAAGGTAATTAGAGTATCACTTATATTTTCTAATAAAAGTATAGTATCCTCATTGGGAATCTTGGGAACGGAGCCTCTCAGGAAACTCAGTTTGGGGATTATCACGCCAGCCTTATATCCAGATGGCAGGAGATACCCACACAGTTATTTCAAGACCCCGTGGGCTTCTTCTACTCCTATAGTTTCCAAGCACATGGCTTGAAGAGGGAAAGGGGGGGGGGGGAATTGTCTAGCAAGTGGATCAGTCAATGACTGAATCTGTTGTGTTATGTTGTGCAAAAACTGGTAGCTATAATGAATTGACCATTAAGGCTAGTTTGTCTGTGCTATGTTTTTTCTCCCTTCATTCAACCTGCTTTGACCAATAAATGTGCAACTGAGCATATTAAAATGTACACTGTCAAACAACATTCATAGATAATACTGTTATGAGAAGTAATCTTCTCTTCTCTTTCTTTTAAGGGGAGAATATGGCCTTCATGAATATACAGAAGTCAAAACTGTCACAATCAAAATTCCACAGAAGAATTCGTAAAGTCATTGCAGGAGAGAGGACTTGACAGTATTTTTGGCTAAACAAAATTGTGAAGGCCTGCAATACTGCAAAACGTTTTGTAGCTGAAATTTTCATTTAAACTTTGATTGTTTTTCTTTCTGTCTATCACAACAAATGCTTTTAACCACTATTCACAGTTGTTTTTAGAAATTCTTTAACCTGTTTCACTGAGAAAGGGAAATCTTAATGCTAATATCAAACATGTTTGTAATGTTAGTGAAAAGAGTAATTTCCTGTTTAAGTATATCTATGGTTCTGTGGAAAACAAATTGTTGACAAATGATATTTACACAGCTTGGGTGAGGCATTGTCTATGGCATTGTTAGCTGTCTTTGTTATGAACTTGGCACAAGCAGTCACGTGTGTATCCAATGCTTTGTTATTGGGGAAAATCATTAACAACCTTATGGTGTATATTCAGATCTGTTCATACTAACTTTTGTACAAAAGTGCTTTGGATGTACACTTTATTAAAATCTACACATTAAACTGTTACAAAATCAGTTATTTTCTAACATAAACTAGATTTATTAGAAATTAGCAGATTTCAGGGAACAGCTACATGTTAATGTATTGTCAAAGGCTTTTATGACCGGAATCACTGGGTTGTTGTAGGCTTTCCAGGCTGTATGGCCGTGTTCTAGAAGCATTCTCTCCTGACGTTTCACCTGCATCTGTGGCAAGCATCCTCAGAGGTTGTGAGGTCTGTTGTAAATTAGAAAAATTGGGTTTATATATCTGTGGAACTGAACTATAGCAGAGCACCTGATGAACCAACCTGGACATAGCATATTGAGAACACAGAAATGCTGGACCACTCCAACAACCACCATGTCTGACTACACAGAGAAGCAATTGAAATCAACAAGCATTTGGACAATTTCAACAGAAAGGAAGAAACCATGAAAATGAACAAAATCTGGCTACCAGTATAAAAAAACTCTAAAATTATAACAGTAAATAAAGAAAAAAAACTCAAAGGGATACTCCAGACAAGAAACAATCAGGAGCACCTAATCACCTCTCAACAAAGGAATTTCCCAGGCAGTAACAAGCCACACCTAAAAACTGTCAGGCCATCAAATGCTAATCAAGGTGGCCAATTGAAACATTCACACCTACCTCCAACAGACAAGAGTTCTGTTGGACCTAGATCTTCCACAGATATATAAACCCAATTTTCCCAGTTACCTCAGAACCTCTGAGGATACCTGCCACAGATGCAGGCAAAACATCAAGGAGAGAATGCTTCTAGAACATGAACATACAGCCCGAAAAACCTACAACAACACAACTATGTGTCACTCTGTTGCAGTATTTTAAAACTAGTAAATTAATTATGGCAGAAGCATTCAGCAAAGTGTAGTGGTTTGAGTATTGGACTATGACTATGACCAATGTCTGAATCTCCATTTGGCCATAGAAATCCATTTGTAACCGTGGGCAAGTCATATTTTCTCAGCCTCAGAGGAAGGCAAAGGCAAATCTCCTTTGAACAAATCTTGCCAGGAAAACCACATGATAGGTTCATCTTAGAGTCACCATAAATCAAAAATAATATGAAGGCTCACACAACAGCAAGCTTTCATAGACAACAGTCCATTTCATCAGATGCAGGAATTAAACTAATTCTTATAACTTTTTCCAGTTGGAGCAAGCTATTAGCGCATTTATTCTCATCCTTTTCCCTTGCTATAGTGATAAGGAACATTATTCTGTGTGACAAGCTCAGGAGAAACCAAAAACATCACCATTGTTTGGAAACAATTTCTCCCATTCATAAGCCATGATGCAATAGTCAAAGAGCTATAGGATATTTGCATTGGTTTGTTTTACAGAAACATTGATCTGTCTAAGAACGAGTCAAGAAAATGTACTATATGTAAGAATGACGTTTTCCTCCTAGTAATGAGAGTGGAAACACGACCCTGTTTTTGAACATTGGGGAAACAGTGGCTTAAGGCCAAAACATAGAGACCTATCCCATGACTGATCATCATAGCCCCCTTCTACAATGCCATATCATCCAAATTATCAAACTTGATAATCCACATTATCTGCTTTGAACTGGATTATGAGAGTCTACACTGCCATATAATTCAGTTCAAAGTAGATAATCTGATTTTATATGGCAATGTGAAAGGGGCCACAGTCACCTTAATCTGCTTGTGATCACACAAACAAACAAACAAACTTTCAGCCACTCCTTGTGACTAGACTTGCTTGTTTTAATTTGCATTTCAGTCATTCCACTGCAAAACTTTTTTGAAAGTGTCTAACGGTGAGAGGACAATTATGATACAGCTCACTTTGTTTCTTTTCACATGGACTTCAAGAACTTGGGGGCAGCTACCCAGATTCTTGCATTACCACCAAATGTATTTCCAATGAAGGAGATACAGAAATGTCCCATGGCTGTTTATGAGACAGAGGACTCGCCAAATATATGCAAGCTAGTTTACCCCCCAAATAAATTGATGTTTCTGCTTCCTCTCTGTTTTTCTTTTCTACCGTTTTCCAGTTTTCAAAAATGAAAAAGTTTAATTTAGGACTACAATGACAATAATCCCCCAATCAACATGGGCATGAGAATCAAAATTATTTAGATTTTTTTAAAATAGTATGTGGGGGTACAACTGCATTTTAATTTAGGTACAGCAAACTAATGTTTGCATCATTATCTGGTCAGGAGCAGGATTTATGACACAATTCCTCCTTGAACAAGATAATGCCTGTGGGAGGAAGGTGGAAACATCTGTCTGCTGCACCCAGATCAACAAAACAGACCAGCTCCACTCTCAGCAGCTACTCCACTCCGTTATGAAAGAGAAAATCTAGGTTTCAAATTTATTACTGCAATTGTGCATTCCAGCCAATATTTCCAAGCTCACCATACAGTATAAGGTTTACATTAAACTATTCATCAGCCACCCTGCATACAGACAGTCCTCAAGTTACAAACAACATAGGTTCTGAAAGTTGGTACTTAAGCTGAATTTGTATGTAAGTTGGAACAGGTACATTTTTAAAGTGTAACTCCAGCCCCTGTGGTGTTTGTTTTGCTGTCTGTATCCCTGTAAAGATGATTTCACCTCATTTTCTATCTCTGTGAAAATTGGATTTTGAAAAAAATGGCTTGTTGTAGAAGCAAGAATTGGTGATAAAGCTTCAGTGGAGACACCTTTTCCCCATAGTACCTATTCTAGGAATGAATTTCCCTTTCTAGGGGTAGATCTCTCTCACTTCCTGTTGTCTCACTTGTGTTCTTAACTATAAGTCAAATTTTTGTAACTTGGGGAATGCCTGTATAGTGCGAAACAGCAAACAAGTCAGCCTACAAAGAGGGAGATATAAGACTATGTTTCAAGTGTTTAAAGAGCCAATAAACACTGAGCGTTATTACCTACAAACAAATATGAATTCTTCAATTAATTCTTCTAAGTTCACTATTGGAACAATTCCCATTTTATTCCTGGTTTATCCACAAGTCCATAAGAGATACGCGTTTTGTCAGTAAAGAATTCAGCCAGCCTAAGACTGAACAGGCTTGACATATAAGGGAAGAGAGAAAACCAGCAATTCAGCAGGTACTGCAAGATCAACCAAAAATATTGACCTAGAGATCCTACATCAATCAGAGTGAGGGCCTCATCACATTTCCCCATTGTAGGACACTTTTGGTCCATTTCAAGGACGATGTGGCTTGGAGCCCATCAAATGTCCATAAGAGATACGGCTTTTGGCCATCATCCCGAACCTTCTGTCCTTGAAATTGAGCTAAAATTTGCTGTAATAAGGGAGTTCGGAACATAGGTGAGAAATCATGTTCTGAGTTCCTAGCGCAAGTCAGGACCTGTGCTAATGGGATCTGACATTCTATGAGTACGGCAACAGCATTCACTTCCACTTCACTGACACTAGGACGACCTGGCCAATGCATGTCTGCCACATTTTGGCATCCTTTGTTGAAGGCTTTTACCCACCTTACCACTGTTCTGTAAGGCAATGCAGATTCCCCGCAAGCCTCTTGAAGACTTTGATGACACTGTCATGCTATACGACCTCTGGCACATTCAATCTTTATCCAACTCCGTTATTCTTGTTTCGAAAAAATCGCAACAGCACTTACTTTAGACCACAAGCTAATACGAGGCATGTGCGTGATGTAGGAAGGGCAAGTCTTTTTACTCAGAGGTAAGGTTGGTATCAGGCATGTAGCCGGGGGAGCCGGGGGCTCGGGGGGCATCAGCCCCCCCCCCCGAAATTCTCATGGTGGTTCGCGAAAAGGCCTTACTGGTGCATTATTTAAACTGTTATGTTTATTCATATCATGATCTGATCACCATACTCAATATATCCCATATGCATGGGGGTATTGGGGTATTGATACAAAAGGTTTGCTAGGCTAGACCCTCTTTCACTCAGACTCACCCCCCCCCCCGAAACTCAGCCCCCCCCCCCGAACCTCCCCTGAAAAAAATTCAGCCCCCTCCCCCCGAAACGAAATCCTGGCTACGGGCCTGGTTGGTATGTAACTAATGTGTGGTATACGTGACATTCTTTGGTTTCGTTGCATGGCGTCTTTACAGTAGTGTTGCCACTATTAAAGTTCCAACCCTCGTATATGCTCATATACCATTAATGGGATTTCAGCCATAATGAGAGATGATAAAGACCATATCAAGTAAATTGCAAACAGCTGCCTTCAAACCATAATTTGAACACTCTTATAAAAATCCATGCAGTTTGTTAGTCCTCGAAGCTTTCAGAATCCTACAGGGCTGTAAAAATAAATAGAAGGTCGAGATTCATCTTGTTATTTCCCATAGCCACACCCTTAAGGTAGGTTTTTAAAAAGTGGGTTGCTTGTTAGTGATTCTTACAACAGCAAAAAGCAGTTATCACATTTATTTCAAGCACAGTGGGGTCTTCTGTAAAGCTAACGGGTCTTAATTTCCCGCTCAAGTCCAAGCCATCCAGAAGTACTCAACATATAGCAGGGAGATTTCACAAAAATATGATGTTGCAGGAAAACAACATCCCACCAGTAGCCCAGCACTGAGTAAGTATTGTGATTACATTAAGAAAGAAGAGGTAAACCTGGGATTATTTTGCTGCCCCTGATAATATAGAAATCCCAGGGCTCTGATTCTACAAGCCCTGGCTCTTTTACTAGATCTTTACCATCTGACTGGGATAGGGGTAGGGGGAGTGCAAAGTTGCAAAATTCAGAGACACAACAGGATTTCTATGTGGGCCATGAAGTGAGCTAGTTACAGCCATTTCTTCAGCTTCTGCAATTTGAAGATGCGGACAAGATACTTGAAAAGATAAAACCTATCAAGTGTATTCTTA